AAGATAAACCAAATCTCAACAAAGGTCTTGGGAAAGCCCTGTGTAATCTGATTTATTTATTGCACAGTCCGAAAAGCAACATACCATACTAAGACATTTTGTACTGGTTACACCATTAGTCGTGGGTGTGTTATCGATATAAAAATAAAAACACAGATTTTAAATTAATACATAATAATATGTGGGATGCATTGTTTAGCGAAATACTAAGGATTCTTCTCGCCTGGGATGACGTTATTTATTAGACTTTTATTGATATGTCTTATATTTTTCCCATTAGTATGCCATGAGAATGTGCTATAATTAAGCACATATCATTAATTATAAATGCAGTTAATGCTTGAAAATTTTTTGAATTTATTTGTTTTTGATAGCTACCTATTTATTTTTGATAGCTACCTGAAATTTCAGAAATTCGTCTTTTGCAAAATGCTTGTCCATACCATCTAGATAATTGAGCAGGCCTTTAAAAAAATGGTTCAAGATTATTATTATTCTAAAAAGCAAAAAGCTGTCAGTTGCTGAGCATGAAACAATTTATCTCAAGCAATAGAGAATATCAAGTCCGCATGATCAAATATTTCTTGTTCTATTGTTGTTCAGAAAAAAATGTGATGAATATTTTCTTTTAAGTCTGTTGATGTGCGTACAGAACTTATCAGGAAGACGTCAACATGCCATTGAAGTACCATTTATTCACATTAATAGCGATTCATTGTAATTGATCGTATAATTTGGCAAACAAGCTGAGCGATGTTATAKTGTGTGTAGTACATTTTTYATCACGGTGTTTAACTGCGAAAATTACTAAAGTTGCTTAGATTTTTTACATGACTTTTTTTTAAATGTTTTACATAATACATTTATATTAGACCACCGTATTAATTGGATAAACCGCTTTRATATGAATTAATAAAATCCATTGATTATTTCGCAAATGCGTTAATAMGTTTTGGATCARTRAACATGTTRAAAAAAAATAGTTATATAATATGCTGTATRTATATGTGCGTAGGTTTCAGTCGCCAYATTTAATTTAGGTAACTCAATTTTTTTTATTTTTCAAATTATSCTTCATCTGCGAGTATATTTTTTCATCGTTAAGTTTTTTRAAGATAAATTATCAATCGATTGTCCGTCCATTGGCTTTTTTCTCAACATTAGCWGTTCAGTTGAAAAATTTAGTTTTTGAGATATAAGCTTTTAGATTAGAAACAACATTGTTTTTGTATTGGAAATCTTTTTAAATTGATTCGTTCTGCAACCGCTTATCAAATATTTTTGTTAGGAATATTTGATGAAATTAAAATAACTTTTTTCGAAAAATTGAACAATTATATCAATAATTTAACGTCGGTTCAATAATACTGTAAAACAAATTATTGAAATGCTTATTTCCACACCATTTTCTTATTTTTGRCCCTTTYCTGTCATTTCYAAACTTTTCTTAAATGTGTAGCGTTTAAATCCTGCAGAATCAGTTCAACTTCAGAAAATTGTTATGTCATTTTGCTATGAAAACATCGATTTAATTGGAAAATATTGAATAGATGATTTTGMCATGAAAATGCGGCGGCTTCCTTTAGGATTACGCAGAACTCATCCAACACCTCGAATTTTTATGAAYGTTGTTCAATGAGCTAGAAATATCGAGAAGACYTGAAAATGTGTTAAAAGAAGAACACCTTTTAAATGTTGTGCAGAAACATCCAACAGCAAGTATTCCTTGTTGTGTCTTTTTTATGTTCAACGAGTTCAAGTACTACAGACTGAAGACTTTTCCTGTAAAATTMACTTGTCTGAATGGTTTTTCGCACGGAGATTTGTTCTAAATTGCCAGTTACTTGGCCATCAAAGTCGCCAGACCTAAACKCTTGCGAGTTTTTCCTGGGTTTTGAAGACTTTTATTAAAATTTGAGTAGACAAGTCGCCAGTAACCAGGAAATATTTCCTTCTTTGCATGGATAAGGCTGCAGAATCAATTTATTATCTGAATAGTGGTGGGCGATCAGAACATTGCGTTGAAGTTCGACAGAATCGTAAATTTGTTAAGTTGTCTTAAAAATATATGTCGCATTATTATTTTTAAGTCTATCATAACTTTCATTTGATTTTTTTGTGGTTTCATTGACTTTCTTGTTTAACTTTGCAAAATTATTTGCAAAAAATCTAATGACAAGCTTAGCGCTGCCAAGCTTTAGTTATTTTCTTATGTTACATATTAAACTCTACTAAAGAAGCAAAACAGAAAACAATATCATTAGGCATGAAAAAAATAATATAGGCAAATAAAAACTTTAACTTTAGAAAGTTGAATTAAATCGCGCTCAGAAATTTCACGAATGGTTCACGATTAACCGTTTGTATTAAATATCCAAATTACTCAGAAGACATGACGCTATTATAACATCATATACTTTTACTCTTTGGGCTACCCAATATTGGCCGCAGAAAGATTTAAACTTTGACCAAGAAAACAACACAGTATTTAAACACCTTGTAAGTACAATATATATTTTTCTTCCTTTATAACATATATTTTGTCCAAAATGATTCGATAAAAAAATATTTCAACCGGACTACGGATTGAGAAAATATTCAGTCAAATGTTGAAGATATGCTTTAATTTTAAAGTAAGTATAAAATAAAAATAAAATACATATATCTATTATGACTTATCAATTTGCTTTGGCGCGCTGTAAAAAGTTGCCTTCTATCAAATCTGCATAAATTTCAACAAACTGGTGCATATTTTTGCTACAATGTTTTGAGCGCGTGATGTGAAAGCTCAGTTTGCGCTTCTTCGGAACTTGTAATTGCTTTATAGAAAAATTTTAATATTTTTGTCCATGATCAATTTCAATAGCAATGCTGTGTCAACTAATGAAAGATCTGAAAAACACCTCACTATAATTCATAAGCTAAAAATGTTAAAATCGAGAAAAGCGAATTTTACATATTGTGAAATGCCAATTTTTTGAGTTTTGATCATGTGTTGATTTTTAAACTACTTTGATTTTTGATTTAATTTGATTTGATTTAGAAATTTACACTATTTTTGCAGATTATTTATCCAGTCAAATGTTGGAAAATATTCCAATACAACAATTCAAAACAAAATTCATAGATAAATTTCATTCAAAAATGTGAAACAAAATTCTTAAAAATTGTAAATGGTTTAAAAAGTTTTTCTTAAAACTAGCTGAAACTTGCCAGCTGTAATGCATTTTCTCGGACAATGACAAATTATGTTTGTTGGCCTGCAATTTTATTTTCCGATCACTCAGTGTAAAAAAGTTGTGTTAAAAAAACGTCTTCCAACATTATTAAGCTCATTGCCTACACCACAATGCTGAATCTATTGCAGTTCCGTCAACTGTTCTTGATACTGCTTGCACAATTGCTTATTCCCATAAGCTTAGAATTACATATTTTATCTAACATCTTGCACTGAATGCTAATGGAAAAATGTTAGATCCGCTTAAAAACATGGGGGCATGGAACAACATTGCAGAATGAAGTAGGCTATTTTGATACTGTTTTAAATGTTATTGTTTTATTACTTAATTCGTTTTTTGCTAATTTTTCTCTGCACTAATTACAGAATTAACTAAAAATGCTGCGTGAATAAAGTAAAAAATATTTCTTGATAAATTATCTATAGTGTAGGACCGGCGTGTGAAACTTTAAGTGATAGGCTACCTACACCTAGAACGAAGAAAAGACATGAAAACTAAACAATTTTGATTGTTTATTCTATATCAATAAGAAAAATCGTTTGGATGTGACACGTTTAAATATTATAAAATATTCAAAAAAACATTTTGAAATAGCAGAATTTTGCGCGAAAAACGTGTTCTAGGTACAAGTTTCTGCAAGTTTCCCCAATAAAAATTTCGGAAGCATGAAACATGTTACACTTTCTATACATCACATGACTTGAATGTCTAAAATTATTGTCTAAATAAGTATTAATGCAACATTTCAGTAAGAGCATCTGCTCGCGAATTTCACATGATTATCAGCAGACTCATTTTTAACTTAATTATGTGCCTATATGAAGAAAACTTATATCATAATAAAAGTTTACATTATTATTATATAAACCTTTATATCACTTTAAGGTACTTACGTTTGTATATTCGTATTAATATGAAGTATAATTTAGGTCATATAAAACTTGTAAAATTTGCGAAGGTGTAAATTAAGGTAAACATGTAGATTATTCCTAAATAAAACTAAGCTGCTATTATTATGATATTTACATAATACATTACTGTTGATGCGATCTATTAATGCAATGTAAATTTAAAATAATAACAATCGTATTAGTAGCAATAAATCAGCAATAGCGGGAGTAATGGCATGGAAAAATATCAATTAGGCACATTTTTAACAAAGCAGAATTATTTTTACGTGAAAGATATATGTTACATGCTGTTTGCCTTGGATAGTGCAAAATTATTTATAAATGCACTTTTTGAACATTTTTTTATTTAATCTATTAGAAAAATCTATCAAATAACACCTAAAAAGCAAGGAATAATTGGAAATTGCATTCAATATTCGCTTTTCTACTTTTACTACTTTTGCTGCTTTTATATCATCTTTAGGATGATTGGAGGTAAAACTTATTTTCCTCTTGCATTTGGAGTTGATACTGAGCAACTGATACGAAACTGAGCTGTAGATTCAAGTACCGCAAAAAACAATTTGAGATTTAAATATATGGTATTTATATGGCAACCTCTACTGGCATGTATTTATTATACATTAGACAAATTAAAGTTGAGGAAATATCCTGTACGTATGAAAGATATTGCGACAGGTTGGTTTATTTACGGAATTTCGGCTATTTCTCAATAATCTTCATCTTGGCAGTTAATAACCATCCCTAAATTAGATTGTGAACTAACTGTTACATTATTGCAAATTAGTGTAACAAAGATGTCCCCTTCTCTTAGATTCATCTCCCACTTGAGATCGCGGTATAAAAGTACGAGTTATTTTAATGGTACCATCCTTATATGCAGTGGCCAGTGTCGGACTGGATGTTTTTTTCGTAGTGATCTGGTGATTTTTTCGTTTTTTTTTTAAATTAATTTCATCTTCTGAATGTGAGAGTCTTTCGTAGTGGCAATTATAAGATTTGGATATGTCAATTAGGGTAAGTGACTCAAGTTAAAATATGTTTAATATTTTAATAAACCGTTAAATATTTGTAAATTTATTAGAAAAGTATGCGTTTTAATAAAATTATCAAAAACTCTAGTTTTACTGTTCAGAATCCTGAAATTTCAACATTGAAATGTTTTAAAATGTAATTTTTTTTGAAAATTTGGCAGCAGTATTTTTCGGCCCTCCTGGTATATTTGCAGAAAAATCTGAGAGTGAAGCTTCGCGGAAATATCGGAAAATGTGTTTAATTAATTTTCCACTTGGGAAAATGACTATATTAATAAATCAAACTGATTAATGCGTGGCAATAGTTTTAATCGGTAAATGCGTTTTGTAATAAAGGTTGTTTATTTGCATCAAACAACTATTAACTATTTATATAATTTTTGTAAATCAATTAGAATCAATCTTAAATTAAAGGACGTTTAACAATATTCCAGTTATGGCTGTAAAATTATTTAAAGAAAATGACTTAAAATGTAATTTTAAAAATAACGTGTGCTCACTAGTCATTTCAGAAAAATAATAAAATATTAAAATAAATTAAAATAGAATCAAAATGTGAAACGATGTTAAAAATGCMCWTTTTTCTAYATATCAAWTAATTTTACTGCTATCGTTATTGAGGAAAATTCTAGCAAAACGCAGTATAAAGCTTTTTTAAAGATTTGCTTTTTGTCAACCTAGCTTCTTTTAAATAGATAAAAAATATGCATTTTTAATTCTAATTTTACTACATTTTCCATGTATGTTGTAAGTTTGTTGGAAGGTTTTTTCCTTTATTGGTTTAATTTATTTTTTCTGCAGACGGTATTATTACTAGCTAATATTATTCTATAATTTCATATATTTATTTGGTTTGCCAACTTTAACGCAAATAATATATTTTTTTTTTAAGCGAATACCCTTTAATTTGTGGTTGTATTCCTCATCAGCCCATTTCATCTGAATTTTTATAGTTGGAAATTTAATTTAACATATTTAGTTATCAACTAACTTCAGAACAACGCTCCCGTAAATATTCTACTTATTAACCACATTTAATTGACATTCATGCACTTGCATTTAATTATCGAATTTGTTATCGTTTACTTGTTCAAGTACATATTCGATTTCCACTAGAAATTGCTTGTGCAAACTTCTTCAGATTAATTAATGGCGTTTTATGGTCAATATCCATCTTCATCTTCATTATAAGCCATTCATATTAGTAAATGTTATTACCGCAATAAATTACATTCCTTCGACACTAATGATTTTTTGATAATTATTTTTTTCCTCCAGCTCTCGACTATGATCAAACTAGCTACCTAACGTTTTCTGTTCTTCAGTGATTGATTATATTAAATAAATGAATGATCATTAGGTAAATATCCGATATAAAATATGCATATTCTTTTAAATGGATGGATTTTATCTTTCATCTTCCGAAACTCTTTTATACAAATTCTTTTCGCTGATTCATAGCAAAACTATGTTAAAAATACAGCGAAAATTCCTGAATGGGTTTCAGATTTCTAATGAGATCAGGGGTCACCGTATTATTTTCTCTTTCTTTTATCTGCACGAAACCCCTTAAAATAGGAAGCCAATCGTCTCTTTCATCTTATTCTTATTATGACATCATGCCTATCAAAATATGTCCATTCTCGATAATTACATTTTTGCAACGCACGTTGATTTTATCCAAATGAATTCATTAACATAACAATATGGTATGATTGAACAATGATATTTTTAATCAAATTGTTTTATGTAAGTGTGCCCGATGGGGAATTCTTCATATGGTATTCATCTTATGATTTTTCTATTTGTGGTAGCCTATAATTTATTGGTGACCAACAACTAATTAGATGCACATTAACCGTTTGATGAATATACTTTTAACTTCGTCTATTAAGTTGGACAACGGCTTTTAGACATTTAATTTTGCAATTTAATAGTTTGGTGGCGTCACGATTTTTTACCAAACGTTAAATTCTATAGCAATTCTGAGAGTTCTCAACTCTCAACCAAGACAATATACTTTTTTACCTTTTCACACGAATGGCAGATTATCTAAAAAATTACAGTCATTTAAGTTAGCATATAGGTCATGGCCAAAGATGTGAAATACCAAGATCGCATTATTGCTATAGAAGTATGTTTTAGAATAATCTATTGTGTAAAGATGGCAAACAAAATCCATAAATTCAACATAATTCATCTCGATGCTATAATTATTAGTAATTACTCGTTGTGCTTCTAATATTGTTTAAAGTAATATTTCGATATATAGTTAATTAGTCGCACGCAAGTAACATTTTCAGTTTCGGCACAAGTAACATTCACAAGTTCAGACACAAGTAACATTTTTTCTTAACTTCATAATTATAAGCAATTTTTTCTTGCATTAAAGTAGCTAAGCTATATTCATCTGCTCCTCTTGTCATCGAGAAATCTTAATTCTACTATTCTATCAGACTGAGTATTTTCTCATTTATTCAAAGGTTTATTGTCAGCATATATGACTTTTTAACATATAACGTATTTAAAATAATTTCTTCGTATTTTATTAAATGCTTTTTCATCAGTTTAGAACAGTATTTTTTAGAATTCATTAGTAGCAAATACTCTATAGGTCCTGTGAGGGCAAATAAATAAATAATGCTAATAATATGAGAAGAGACAGACTTTCGAGGGCATTCCTTGAAACTAGTGGATTTTTCGGGTTTTTGGGCCGCCGTAAAATGAAATTTCCGTAAGCGTCATTCCACCTACTAGTTTCAATACTAGTAATGTTACAAAAGTAACACAAGTTTCTAAATATCCGAAATAACCCTAAATGTTTCCTAAGAATTGAGCAAAATATGAACGTTAGGTACTTGGCTAAAATTGATCAAGCTGAGGAAGAATTATTTCGTAGTTATTTTTTTCCAGTTTTTGTTAGTGAGAGAGTGTCTAATAGTGAGAGTTTCTCAACTATTAGACAGCTAAATATTTTAAAAATTCAACATGAAAATTAGAAATCCCGAAGGGTTTTACTTGAATTAATTTATTAATTAGGAAATTATAAATACAACAAGGCAGGCACAAGAACAAAAAGTAGTTCTTTTGGAATGTCTGTTTGGAGCATCAAGACTCGCAGGCATTTTTAAATTTTGTAGAGCCATTCTGTGACTTAAATGTGATTACATGTTTAAAAAAAATTAAGGCACTATTTCGAAAAAGTTTTAACTTTTTCTCGTACAAACACGAGTTAAAGCTCTAAATTCTTTTGGGTGTAATTTGTCGCGTAACGTAATGTTGATTTATTAACAAGAGAAATTACATTCGGTATATTATCATTGGGCTTAAATCGGAAATCAAATTAAATTGACTCATAAATTAAACCTGTCATCATATATTGCAGACCAATTCAGGCGCCACACAGTAGTCCGAGCCCATAATTCGGCCGGCCAAAACCACCGTTCCTTTTCTACCTGCCTACTTTTCTAATTTTTATATAAAATTTATTTTCACTTCACTTTTCGTTTTTGCTATCCATATTAGAAGTTTGTTCAATTTGATCTTAGACCTGTTATAGAAAAGTACCTTAACTATTATAGAAACAAGTAAAGAATCAATAATTGTTGAACATAATAACTAAATGGGAGTTTAAATAAAAATTTTTAGATACATCCCGTATAAGGCATTATACAGGATGTACGATTTTTTTAATAGAGGGAAAATGTGCGTGTAAAAACAATCTAATTTTGCTGTAACATCATTCGGACAAAGATTTGGTATAAAAACAATGTCAAAATAATATATGAATTCTACTTTGTCTTCTATATTTTCAAAATTACCCTTTATAGTTGTAAGATTGTACTGTAGACAATTTATAAAGTGGTAACTGCCCGATTTATGAGCTAACACTTTTTTGTATTTATAATTTAAAATTAAAATACATTAAAAACAATGTAAGTTTTATAATTTTGATTGAGATTGATTTATTATTTGAGCTATTTGCAGAGAGAATAATTCTTCTACTTTTCATCAGTCAGTTAAGTTGGGCATTTTGTAATGCGTCGCTATAACTTACCTATAAATTTACATTTTACATTTTTTTTTCATTTCCCCATTTCTGCAATTATGATTAGTTAATGTTTAGTTTAAATTTATTTGCTAATTAAGTGATTTTTATTGTTCTCTTGCATAACTCCATTTTTTACGTTGTTTCTTTTACAAATAAAATTTATGAACACAATTTTCATGTGCGATTTTACTGTTCTCTGTTACTGTGTCTCTATTATGCATGTAGAACTTGAAATTGAAATTTATTGAAACATTTACTTAACTGTTTATTATGGTTCTTTCTTCATTGTTAGTAATGCTGATCTAAACAGATTTTTATTTCAATCTTAATCAACTATTTTACCTGATTACTTTGACTGTTGATTTATTACTTTTATTATTTTACATCTTAGTATTTTCCTTTTTAAATTTGCTTCTTGTCAGAGATTTTACACTCTGATATTGATTTAGTCGATAAATACATAATTTGCCACTCTGCATTGGAGGTCTCTGAGATGCAAAATGTATTGTACTAAATTTTCGAGTTTTCTTCTTTTGTAAATAAAATTAACACTGTTTTTTTGCTTCTTTTGCCTGCTGCTTTTATTAGGCTTGCAGAACTTTAATTGAAAAATGCACATAATTAATTTTCTTTCTGAATTATTTCGTCATTATTATTAATGTTTATCCAAGCAGATTTTTATCTGCAAACGAAACTCCTTATTTTAATTGATTACTGTCATTGTTAGTTTTCTTACTTTAAATCATAGTATTTTGCGTTTTTTGCCAGAGGTTTTGCACTTTGATACTCCAGTAATCCATAGACTTATGATTTGTGCTTTTTTCTTGGCTAATAGGGCTTTGAGATGCAAATATGTTGAAATGAAAATAATAATAATGTTAAACAAAAACAGCCAAAATAAAGTTAGAAAATATTATACTTAATTTGTCACA